AAAAAAAAAATCTTGAATCTCTCTTTTAAATGTTCTTCCAAAAAAAAATCTTAATTTTTCGAATTCTTTTTTCGCATTGTTAGAGACACAAATTAATAGGAAAGACATGTTTTGTCCCTTGCAGTGTACAAAGTCATAGTGGCCAAATATTAATTTAAGGTTTAGAGGGGGGTGGTCATTTTGTCTGCTAGGGACAGTGTAAGTAATCCACATAATATAAAATTTGCATTTTTTATTATTTTTTTATCAACATGACAACCAATTGCTATAATTATTATAAGATTTTTGTAATGAATTTAAAAGAAAATAAAATAATATGGAGGAGAGGTGGAGCTGTTTTTGGGTAAAGGGCCAAACAACATAGAAGACGTGTGTTGTTTGCTTTTGAAGAGGCAAATATGGTCACGACTTAGAGAGAGAGAGAGAGAGAGAGAGAGAGAGAGAGAGAGAGAGAGAGAGAGAGAGAGAGTCGTTCATGCATCTGTAAAAGTCAAAGATTGAATATTCCATCGTTGACCATTACAAAGATTAAATAATTTGGTTCCTTTATATTCTAACGACTACGATCCATTTGCATGAATCTATTCGGTCGATTTTAATAATCAACTTTAAATCTTATAGTAACCTAACTTAGGTAATCTAATAAAAAAACAAAATAGTAATATTATTCTATATCCTGCATTATCCCCAACCTTTCACTACATATATATCTAATATAATCACCCAACCCACCATATATAGAATTTTTTTTCTTAATTAAGTCTTTTTCTTTTTTACACGCGGGCTTGTTTTTTTTCGAACTTGAAATAAAAAAATGTATAATTAAAATAACTCGAAAAATCAGTATCACTAGAGTCTAGATATTCCAGTACCAACCGATTGAAACTATTTTAATATAAATACTATTATTTTTATAAGAAAATGTTATATTCCTTTGACAAAAAGAAAATGTTATATTCAATGACACTTATTTCGAATTTTGATTTAAGTTAATATTATAATTTTAATTAGTTCACATGTTGGGAATGAGCGCATAATTCAAATCACATTAGTGGTTTTCGATTCCGGGATTAGTTTGGATCTCTGTACAGAAAAACTGATTACCAAAAAAATAATAATTTTTATTAGGTGTAAAGGAGGCCTTCACGTATTATGGAGAGAGAGAGAGAGACTTATGGGGTGCTCTACCAACGGTCGACCCTTCTATGAAAACCACACATCCCAACTATGAAAATATCCCCTCGTTTTTGTTTTATTTTCTCAAGCAACAAAAGAAGAATCTTTTTAAATTCATATTCTTTTTACAAATATTCTTACGATTTTTTAATTATATATATATATATATATATATATATATATGTATGGACAGAGAGAGAGAGGGAAGATTGAATATATGAAACATTTTTATTTTATTAAGTCATTCTTGTTTGTATCAAACTTGTTCATCTCACTATATGTCGAAGCCTAATTTCAGGCATCCTTAAAGTATCATGAACATAATAAAAAATGTAATGGACCGACCGTATAAGACCACAGAAAAATGAATGGGCAAATATATAATTGGCGTTTTCACAATAATAATTTTTTTTTTAAAAAGGAATGATGAGAAGAAGATATGAACGTGAAGAGCAGAGAGCTTCGATATTATTGACATGATTTCATGGCTGCGTCAATGGTGGAGATGTAATTTGACCATTGGGGGATTGGAAGAGCCAAAAATAATAATAATATATAACAATTAATTGAAATGAAAGATTAATGGCAATGTCTCGGTTTCGATTGAGACATCTCCCCTGGTTTCAAATAATGTCACAATGTGATTGCTTAGTGTCCCGTGGCCTTTGTGATGTAACAAGTTCGGTATAAATATTTACCAAAAAAAAAAAGTTCGGTATAAATTATTACGGTTAATTAAGAAATGAGTGTCATAGAAATGGACAAGGCCATAAGGCCCATAACCAAAGCATGTATAATGATAATGATAAACACTGGATTGGGCTGAGGCCCAAAGCCCATATATGATCCTTTGAGCCCATTAACCAACTCACCCAATATATCAGATCTCAACCAGCATGAAAAACTCGACACTCCCGTTAGAGGCCGCGTCATCACCATAGACACGGGCCTTTGTCCGATCAGAACAAGAGATTTCCCGGTCTGGATTTCTTTCAGCCGTCACTTTCTCGGGAAAAGCCGTGGAAAATATCTAAATGTTCTTGATGTCGTCCGGGTGAGAAAACGACACCGTTTTCTGTGACAAAGTTGGGTAAAAAAGTTGGGTAAAGACAGACAAATGAGAACATTGATGGAGCGTTTACTGCAACGTTGAAACTTCAAACACAAACCCTAAGCCCGTTAACTTCTCTCTGGATCATAAAAAGCTTTCCTTCACAGATCTGAATAATCAGTCACCAAATATATCAAACAGATCCAATACTACTAACATATAATATTATATATATATATATATATATATATATATATAAACCCTAGCCCGTGACAATACCAGAGCCACAGGGTGTTATTTATTTATTTATTTATATACTAAGCTTTCAAGTGGAAAACGCAAACCCGGCACCGCCTGCTTCATTACAATCAAACCCACAACCACACTGGGGGCTCTCCACGAAATTATCGGCGGCGAAACTCGCCGACGCTATCCCGACGGAGAAATCGAGATCGTCGTTTTCACGGCTGACCTCCACGATGTTGACCCAGAAGAATAGTACCTTCACGCTCACCCCCTTCAGGTTCCTCACTCGGCCCGTGCTTATGACTCCGGAGATGGTGGATTGGTACTTGAGCTCGTACGACTCGATGCTGAACTCGCACGTTCCGTTGAACCTCACCTTGAACTCCCCGGTTTCACGGTTCAGGTCATAGTCCAGCACTCCTTTCGGGAGGATCCCGGCCGGCAGGTTGTACAGCTCGACAACCTCGTAGGCCGACAGCTTTCGGTCGGAGCCCGCGAGACAGGAGGAGATGACGAGCAAGAGGAAGAAAACCGAAGTGGGCTTCGCGTTTCCAGACATGGGTTGGGTGGGTACTCAGTTACTCCCTTGTTTGGTTGGTGAAGCTAAATGAAGAACCCATTGGATTTTATATGGAGAAAGTGGTAGGTCTGAGAAAATTGAGAGATTGTGATATGCGCGTCGGATGAACTTGATGAACGGCCAGGATTTCGCAGAAACCTAAGTCACGTGTTAAACGGACAGGAAAACGACGACGTATTAGGCAATCTTGAGAGAACATTTTGTGTGCATGCAATTAAAGAATCATAATCAAAGATATAAGAGCAATGGATCGGATATGAATCAGCTAACACTCCTTATCAATGCATCCAATGATTTCTTCTAGGGATTCTGCCTGCACCCTCTTGTCCCAAATATACTTTCAGATGGGTCCTTGAATTTTTCAGAGATCATGGCCACTTTCTTGTAGTCCAGAGCATTGTAGCTCCTCTCAGTGATCAGCTGTCTTATTTCGGCGAACGCTTTTTTTCACCTCGTTACCGTCCTTATCCACGAACATGAACACGGGAGTTAGGCTCTTGGTAAAAGTTTCCAGCAACTGGATATCGGCGTCAAGTCCCTTGATAGAGCCAATGCTGAATCTTTTCACTAAATCCCCGCATAATGTTCCGACAATCTTTTCAGAAATGTGAGGTAGAACATCATGCAAAACCCTTTTCAGGACCTTGGCAGGCAATATCTGCTCTGCCGTGGAAACCAAAGTTTCCAGGTATATAAGAACTTTGTCCATGTACTCATTCGATCCCACCTATCGGAGCACCGTCTGTAGTCCGATTGACATTCTCTATCAGTGCCATGAACCCATCAATCTTCTTCTTAAGCATCCCAGAGAGGGGGTATCTTCTGCAGAATCTTGGGATTTAGTCAAGGGGAAACTGTCTCCTACCTCTCTCCGCCATTCTCAAGGGAAACCCTGAAAGCCGAGCAGCTTGACAGAAGAAGAAATCGCAAGCACGTTCCAACACATCCATGTCGGCTGCAGCCTGCATTGGCTGCGTGACACCATCGACAGATGTATTTATGAGCTTCAATAGAGCCTTGTCAAGAACCTCGCCAAGAAGCCTATCCAGATACTTCTTCATGACATCATAGCAATCAGACTGACCACCGTAAGACATGAAACTCACTTTAGTCCTCAATGAAAGATCACAGGTAACAATCTGGCACGGTGGACGAGAACGGAGCTACGTAATGGAAAGCGGGTATTATGCCGAGGTTTGTAACTGGAAAGAAAGTACGATCATGTAGTATTCGTATTCTTTCTTCATCAACATCTGCTCAAACTTATCAGCAGACAGAGCTTCAGTAATCTGTTTGCGGCAATCGGACAGCAACAACTCGTGATACTTGTCCCTGTGTTTGCTTAAGACATCAAGAAGGGCATCGAAGGCATAGCCATACCTACGCAGACTCACACCTAACAAGCTCACATAATCCTTAATCAGCAGAAGATGATTAGCCGTCTGCATCCTAGACAACTGATCCTCCAAGACAGAACACATCTTAGCAACAACAGTGTCCCACAAACTCTCCACCTCCAGTTTCGATATCAAACTTCCTCCAGTTCTCAATACCCTATCCTCTACTATGAAAAACACCGCGATTTGAGCGAAAAACGCCTGATGTGACTCAAGAAATGGAGTCATAGAAGACATCTGGAAGTCAGACGTGAGCTGAAGCTTCCGATTCTCGAAATAGTACTGCTTGAATCTATCTTCAAGGCCTAGAGTCTGATGAATATGATAAGTTCTGTAGAGCGGAGTCAAATCGAAGCCTAACGAACCGCCTCCGCCATCTCCGCCATCGCGGAAACGACCCGACACGAATTCGTCTTCTTCTTTTTCTTCGTCGTCGTTCAGGGAGTAAACGCAATCGCGCAGGCTGAGCCGGGTCTGCTCCTCGGCCTGTCTTTGCTTCGCCCAGAGATCCTCCTCCCGCTGTCGAGCCGACGAAGCTTGACCAATCGCCAACTGAGGATTTCGACTCACCACAGGGATCTCGGCCAACCAATCGCCGAACTCCTTGATCACCTTCTTTTCTACGTACGATCTGATCGAGGGGATCATCCTCTTCTCCAGTATCTGCTTCAGCGTCGACGACGGCGTCTTATCCGTGAACTCTCTCTCAATCGAGTCCACGCACTTGAGCGCCATGTAGAAACTACCATACTGGAGATGCTGATTGGCTCGGGAGCAGAGATCCATGAGCCGAACACAGTGAGTCACAGCTTTGATCGCCAGATCGACGTTCTTCGACACAGTCTTCGCCTCAATGAGTGAATCAAGAGAAGACAGGAGCGGCACGGCCACGGATTGGAGCTTGGATTTGGAAGCGGAGAGATGCAGACTTGAGCGATTCGACGTCGGAGAGAAGCGAGCGGAGATCGTCGACGGCATTGATGAAATCCTGGTAGTGAGATTTACATACCTCCTCGATCTCCGACTCCTTGGATCTCGCAAAGTATCGGAGATGATGGAGAAGAGTCTCCGGCTTCTCCGCGGAGAAGACCTTCCGCACAAACGGCCCCAAATCCTCGCCGTTGCATATCGCCGACGATATCAGGAGCTCATCGACCTTCTCCGCCGAGTCTCCGCCGGCGCCAGCGGATGCGGGGTCCACTTTGCCCCGCCCTTTCGAATACTGCATTTATTATTATTATTTTTTGAATACTCGAGTCATTTTCTAACGCGCGGTCCATATAATTATAAGTATTTTACATTAATATTGTAATCAATAATTAAACAAGTAAAATTTAAATGGATATATATAACCCGAGGCTGTAGTTTATTCTTCGGTAGTCCAAATAGTACGATCATGTAATTTAGTATATGATATAACTGAAATTAAACAAAACATCTGATATTTTTATTATATGGTTCAGTTCACCCCTTTGGAAAGCAATATACGCCATTTATGTCGCAATAAAATTTTTTTTCCCAATTTTAAATTTTCAAAAAAAAATGAGTGAAAATATACCCCAAGCTTCACATTTCCTTTATGTGTTGAGCTTGTTTTGCCGTGCCATAATTTATTACATTTACTAACAAAAAAATAACAATTATTGAGAAAATCATGGGAGTAAACCGCCGGAGTAGGGCACACCGGACTGAAGGATCCAGTCATCACCGAGCAAGAAGCTCGAGACCGTGAAATTAGCGGCGTCAGTGGAATTAATCACATGATAACCGGTCCAATTGACCCGGTTTATGGTGTTTGAACCGGGTCCGGTATTGTTGTACTCGGCGTAGTACAACGTACTCAACGCGAAATCCCCGTTCCACTCCCTCCAACCGATCGGTTCAACAACCCCATCTATATACGATTGCATGTAAACTGTTCGGGAATATTCCTTCCACGGTCGGCCCAAATACGTCTTAACCTTATAAACCAAATCATCCGCCGGTCTAACGGTACAATTGTGGATCGATGTGCCGGTATTCTGGTTCGGATCGGTACGACCTTGAGCCGTGATAGCATTGAACTGGTTCTGCATCGGCCGTCTCGGATAAATGTTACAGTTCTGGAAAACCACCGCCGCGTTTCCGAATATGAAATCGACAGTTCCGTAAATATCGCATCCTCTATAGAATTGTCTAAGAGAATGCGTATAGAGAGTATCTTGGTAGGCCTCGAAGCTACAGCTGTAGAATATCGATAGATCTGCTCCGCTCCGGAGGGCCACCGCCTGGTGCTTTTCCGGCCCGGCCGTATTCCGGAAAGTTATGTTCACCGCCACAAAATTTGGCGCCACCACCGCTGTAATAAAAAAAATTCACCATTATTGATTGAATAATAACTATTAACTATCGTGCCATGCAGTCCACATGGGCCCATGAATAATATTGTTATATTCGTGAATCGTGCTATTTTAAGATCCCATAATGCAAAGGACGTGTAAGTAATTCATCATGTATTCTATTCACCCACCTATATTTTAAAAGTAGAATGATTTTTGTCCTATGGTTGAGAAAAAAAACTGTAATTGATTATTATAGTTTCGTTTTTAAAAAAAAAAGCATATATATCGTTTTAGGATAGATCACGTCACATGTGTCGGGACGTAAGATATCTGTAAGGACGTACCAAAAGTAGCGGAATTAAACGTGGTCCAGCCGTCGACGACGCTGCGGTTTCCGGTGATCACCGTCCGATTGATGCCGTCACCGACCATCATCAAGAACCGTTTGTTCTTCGCAACGGAAACGTACTCTTCGTAAATCCCCGCCGTTACGTAGATCAAGAAGTAGCCGTTTCTTCCGTCGGTGTTGTTCGGAGCCGCCGCGACGGCGTCGGAGATGGTGGAGAAGTTTCCGGATCCGTCTTGCGAAACGGTGACGATATCGCTCACCATCACCGTGCCATTGTTGTCTTCTCCGGCGAGCTTCCTCCTGCTGACGGACTCGTAGACGGCGCGTGTCCGCTCCGTCATCTTTAACGGAAGGGCTCCGTTACGGAAGACCCGGAAGGGCTTGTGGGAGGCTTCGTTCGTGTGGATCCATGAGAACCCGACCCGTTTCTTCTTCTTCGGGACCCACCCTCTGGTGAAGAGAGCGAGGGATACACTGTAGAGCTTCGTGTCGTCGACCAGAGGCAAAACGACGCCGTTCCGTACGGTCCACGTGGCGGAAGCGGAGGTGAGGCCGTCGAGACAGGTCTGCTCGTTGGTCAACGCCGCAGAAAGGAGCGTTTGGACGTCATCAGCTTTGGGGAGCGTTAGCGTTTCGCTGGTGGAGTTAACGGCCTCAAACGACGTCAAGAGATAATCGATGGTAAGACCGGCGAGGAAACGGCAGTCTTGGAGGGCGCCGACGGCAGTTTGCGAGAGGTGGGCGTTGCGTCTGAGGTACTTGTCGATGACCCGAATGAATTTCCGCGATTGCGATAGGGATTTGCGGAGAGAGAACCGACCGTAGACGTGAACGTCGCCATGCGTAGCGTTGGGGAGAATCGATTTGCAGAATGTAGGATCCGGCGTCGTTTTGCAGATGCTTGAAGAAGACGAATTAGACAGAGTATGAGAAACAACGACGAACGTTTGAAGAGACAAGAGTGTGGTAAGAAGTAGTAACAGTAGTAGTGTTGGAGATGATTCCATGTTTGGAGGTTCTTCTTTTATTTTTATTTTTTGACGATTTGGGTTGAATGGATTTATAATATATATATAGAGTGGAGTGGAGGATGATGAGATTTGCATAATCTGATCAGATCAGCTTATAAAAATAATAAAATATGGTTATTATAACTTTATAATATAAAATAGTAAGAATGGTGCAAATTTCAAAGTCCAACTTGTGTGAGAAAAAACGCGTTACTACTCGACATTAATCGTCGGATACAGCTTCGTTAACTCTCTCTCTCTCTCTCTCTCTCTCTCTCTCTACATACGTATATACGTACATGCATGCATACATGGTACGTACATTCATGCATATTGTATACAGATGTTATCATGGTTTTATTCTCCCCACGTGATTCTGAAACTAGCCGTTGTGAGTTATTGACCATTGTCTGGCGTCAACCTCACCTTATTTTATGCGTATGTATATACGTAGCTCAAACGAATAAGTATAACAAAACTGACGGATTACAATATACCTAAAACGTAAACACATATATCACGTATACATATATATATATATATATATATGAGATTAAAAAATTTAAATTCACTGTATGCTACAGAGTTTTTTTTTCCTAATAACTTTGGTATTGGACTCATGATTGCTTTGTATTTTACTGTAACATTTGTCAACGGCGGTGCCATCAAAATATAAATATAAAAAATGGCATTAGGTATTTGTTTATTATCGAAATAGTTTGATCTGAACCTTTATTCCTACCTAAACCAACTTAGATCTGGGCAGGTTTTATATTGTGATGATTAAATATTAATGCTGGGTTTTTTAAATTTAATAATTATCAATATATACATGTATGCATACATAACTTACAGATCGAAGGTTCCCACCAAACACGTTGCAAGTCTCAGTTTCTTGGATTCACATGACATTCCTGACAATTATTTCATAAAGGAATATATACATATATATATATATATATATATATTCCGTATTTATTAATATGTGTATATATATTCTATGTTCATTTTTTTAAAAACTATATAAACAATTTTTAGCATCATTTGATTTTTCATAAATAATAAATTCTCTATTGTCTTTATAAAGAAAAGAGACATGGTACTTTAAAATCGCTATGTGGTATCTAAATCGATACGTAAAAAAGGTAATTTATAATGTAATGATGTCAATGGTAAATATATTAAAACGAGTTTATTATAAACAATGAAACAATACTGTAAGTATACGTTACAGTGACTATTATGATTAGTGACGGAAATCTAAAATGTATTTGTGTGAACACATGAACCGAATCCACGTATATTTATACATTCACAACCCCACACGTTTTGTAAAAATGTATATATATATATATATATATATATATATCAGTCAACACGCAAATAATTGAGACCTCATGTGAAGGAAACCAAACAGAGACTCACTCACACCACACCATTCATCTTACGATTTTCGTGTCTTTCATTAAATATGCTAATGAATTAATTTAATTTGCATAGATTGTCGGATATATTTTAAAATGGAAACCTTGAATTTGGATTTGCCTTAATCGCTCAAAAGACAAAAACAAAAGTCCGAAAACGACAAGTCTGAGCCTTGACTTTATACGATAGATATGCGTGGATATAATTTTATCATATTATTGGTTGTACGTTCACTTATAACTCTGATAGAAAATGGGACAAACAGCTCTCCATAATGAAATGAATCTCTAAGAAATTATCTTGTATACATTACTTTTAATAACTTTTGTTTTTATGAATTTGAATAAATGCAATTTTTTGAAGATTTATTTCTTCTGCTTATATTTTTATTATAATATTAATTAAAAATCTAATGATACATTCGGTTACTTTTGTTATTACAATTATCTCAGTAGATGTGTGTATATAAGCCGCTGATAGAGAGCTTAATGGACCGGCAAATCATTTGAGGCCCAATAGTGGCAAATGGACTCTTAGGCTTTTAACCAAACTGTTACTTGGGCCTAGTTCCAATCTTTCGTTACTGCACATTCATGTCATCCTATTCCATTTTTGCCCACATTTTTTTAAAATAAATATTTTAATATAATTTTATTAAAATATTTCACGGTTTTATAATAATTTTACAAGTCTTTATTATATTAAAGATGGAAGCCATTGGGAGGATAAAAATAGATATTGTCGTTCAAATGGTAAAGATGAAGTAAATGTTCTTTACAATCTAGGTTCGAATATTTATTTGGAGAGAAGCATTCATTGGAGATTTTTGGAATATTTAATTGGAACGAAAACCCAATTAATTTACGGATTATAAAAAAAAAAAAGTTGTCTGACCCCTTCTTCTCTGTTTATCCGCAATTCCGCAATTGTGATTTGGCCCCTCAATGTTTCTAACTTTCCACCCTTATTCCCCTTTTTTTCTTTCTGATTCTTTTAATTTCGTAAGGCAATAATGAAGGATCCGATTTTATAATACAAATAACACTTTCCTTTTTTAAAACAATATAGTAATTCTCTATAATTCTAATTATTATTATTTTTGCCACTAGACTCTTCGAAAATCTGATGTTCTAGCATAAAAAAGAGACTTTTAAAATCTCCAACAGAAAACGTAAAAACTATAAAGCTTTACAAACCTATTTCTGGAATTCAGATGTAAAAAACTTTTAAAAACACACACTACAATTTCTCTATCAGACAAAAAGATATGAGAAAAAAAATAACATCCAAAATATTCACCTTTAATATTTTAAATAATTAGTATCCAATTTTTTTTTTTTAAATTCGAAAGTTTACATCTTTAACTTAACTATATCTTTCAAAAGAATGGAAAAAACCTAAGTTAATGTTCATCCCCAGATGAAAACTTGAATATGGATATTCATCGCAATAACGATAGTACGTTCAGTTTTGTTTTGTTTTTCATAAATAGCATTATATAATAACAAACAACTTTTTCGAATTATCCAAGATTAGCTGACTTAACCGGGTAAGAAAGGAAGCAAAGCTCCTTTCCAACCCGGATTCGAGTCTTCATTTGGAGAAAGACATTCACATGGACTTTTCCGGTCTTCTAAGATATGTAGTCGGTAGGGGTGGGCGATCGGTTCGGATCGGGTTATTCGGATTCGGTTATTTCGGGTTCGGGTTGTTCGGGTTTAGAATTTTCATATCCAATCGGGTATATAATCTTAATCGGTTCGGTTCGGGTTCGGTTCGGATTTTTTCGGGTTCGGTTCGGGTTTATCCAAACAAATATTCGATTACAAAAGCTTGGTAAAATGATTCCATACATTCTATCTCGTGGTAACTATCATCTTTGTTTTCGGAGGTAACTGTAAATTTGAATCCGGTTCTTTTCTTTTGTCACCAACCGATTGTCCGACCTTAACTAATCATGAATTTTGATTTTCCATCGGTTAAAAAAATAATGAGTTAAAAATTAACAAATTAACAAATGTAACAAATGATTCGCAGATACACAAATCAACCAACAAAATGATACAAAGAATGATACCCAAATATAATTCTGAATTTTGTTTTCATCTGTAACAAATGATACACATAGACACATGTCCGAGACTGAGAAACTAGAATCATTTTACCAGAAAATATACAACACAACAGACATACACAGATACACACACTGACACACACACACACACATACACCGAAACGCCGACCGAGCAAATGCCAAGAACGATGTCTAAGATCATCGAGGTAGCCCTCTGGCTTTCGGCCTCTGCAATCGGAAAATACACAGGATTTCACATTAACAATCGAGATCCGATTGTCGACAGGAGCATGAAATCGACAGAAGGAGAGAAAGAAATCACATAAGAGGGAGAAGAAGAATGAAACTCACCGTCACAGAGAGGCGACGAAATACCGAGGCGAGGCAGACCAGAGAAGGGCGACCGACGAGTCGACGACGAGAGGTGCAGAAAGAGAGGAGACCGACGATGAGAGGTGAAGAGAAAGAAGAGACCGACGGAGAAATATGTAGAGAGAGAGAGGAGGCCGCCAACGAGAGTTACAGAGAGGAGGCCGCCAACGAGAGTTGCAGAGAGAGGAGGCCGCCAACGAGAGTTGCAGAGAGAGGAGGCCGCCAACGAGAGTTGTAGACAGAGGCGAACGTCGGCGACGAAGGAGCTGACTTAGGCGACGAATAGGAGGGAGTTGAATTGAGTCGAGCTTGAGGAGATGGAGTCGAGCTCGAGGGAGGAAGAAGAGCTTGTCTTCGGTAGTGGCGGGGTGGAGTTCGAAGGGGATGAATATCGACAGACCAAAACCCTAATTTTAATTTAATTTCGGTTTATTCAAATAACCGAAACCGATCGGGTATTTACCCGAACCGAACCGATCGGTTATGGGATGACAAAAACCGATCGGTTATTTTTGAAATAACCGATCCGAACCGAAAACCGATTAATCGGGTCGGTTTTACCCGAACCCGATTAACCCGACCCGAATGCCCATGCCTAGTAGTCGGACCAAAGGTGCGATGAACTTCCGAATTAAAAAAAAATATTCGATTTACATATCATATATATGTATATAATAGGGAAATGTTTTTCTATTATTGATAATTGGAAGAATACATCATAATATATAGCAAAATACAATAGAATATTATAAGTATAATATTTGGGGTAAAGCATAATCATATCAATGATAATATTCTAATAATAATATCTTCCTATATACCCCTCAAGATGAATCATCTATGATGAATTCAATCTTGTTACATAAAAACTGAAAACTGAAATTGTGATCGTATTAAGCGAATCATCTTCCATGTGGTGATTTAGTTCAGACTTGAGTCAGTGTTGCTTAACAACGTTTGAAGAGTTTGAGAGTTGCATTCTCAGAGGCTGATATAGCACGAAAGTGCGAGGCGTATGCGTGAATTGGATTGCACGACAATGAAGTCGGCAGTGCAAAAAACTGCAGTGTATATAGCGGTTAGGCCGGAGAAAAAAATGGGCGCAAAAGCGCGACACATAATGCGTGATAGTGTAGCAGCGGAGCAAGATAGAAAAAAAAGGGATGTAAATACGTGGATCAGCGATCAGAGTTTTCCAATCGAAAAGGACTAAATATCATGTGTAAAGATCTCACAACATTAGGGTTGACATCGATAAACGAACGTTGTCTGGAAAAAAAATAGCACATCGGCTAGAGTTGACAGTGATGAACACTGTCGTCGAAAAGAAAATTAGAAAAAAAAAGAGCAAAGTGAATAGAAGACGATATTCAAGATGATAATACTATTGGATTTAGTATATATCATCATTTTCATCATCGATTTGGGATTCAACCACCATTGTTGATGAAAAAAAAATCTAAAACGAAAACCGAAGTTCTGATACCATAATAGAGAAATGTTTTTCTATTATTGATAATTGAAAAAATATATTATAATATATAACAAAATACAATAGAATATTCTAGGTATAATATTTTGGATAAATCATAATCATATCAATGATAATATTTTAATAATAATAATAGTATATATGTGTGTTTTCCAATCGGATTTCTATAAACATTTTTTTTTGTCGTCAAATGACCTCGTTGCCAAGCGCCGAATCTTATCCGAACATATATGCATGCATGCATGCAGAGCAGCCATGACTGAAATATATAAATATATCTCTAAACTCTTATAGTTATTACGAATGGGTTCGTTTTATGTGTATCTGCGGCCCTTCAAGGAATCCCGAAACGTACGGACAGAGGGAGGCTATTTATATAATATTACAAAACAGCCCCTCCATGTTTGAATGTTCGCATATTTCTCCGACATAACACATTCGTTCTGAGATCGCCCGGCCACACTTCTCCATTCCGTCCTTTCACTCTCAGCCCCATTTCTCTTCTTTACTTTCTGTCAGCAACCCCCATATCTCTCTTTTTTTTTAAAAAAAAAATTTCCTTTTCCCATTTCATTGGATTTATCATTATGTGACATTGCAATTGAATGGGGTCCATCTCTCATCTAAATAAAATCTTGTACAGTCTTAAATGCACTCAATCTTTGTAACACCGCTTCACGGGCCATTTATATAATTGTGGTCATCATCACAAGATTTTACGGAATAATCTCGAAATCCAATTTTCTAAATAATTTCCTAATAGCTCTTGTCTTGTCGTTTATTTTGGATTTTACAAGATGGACCTCTTTACAAGAAAAAATAAAACACTATAAGTTTTATTATATATAGCTAATAGACTAACTCTCTCTATATATATTATCGTGAGCTACAATATGTAGGGATATTAATAATTCGGATTTTCTCGAAAATCGGAATATATATATAT